CTCTAACAACTCATCCTAAGCTCTTCTCCTAACAGGAGTACTCTATTAATCCTTCTATTATTATTTTTTGTTATGTGTCTTGCTTTCTTTACTTCGTCTTAACTGATCTAGAATTTCATTCCATTAGATCGAATCATGCTTATTATAGATCTTTGTCAATGTCAAATACTTTTTACAAAATTGGATTTGTTGAATCTCATCAACGATAACACAGTAGTAACTGACATTTTGTTTCAAGGGTGTTGAAAAAAAAATCGAAAATGGTTGTTTGTTCCAACTCAATTGGATGTATAGCGCTCTTGCACTGGTTCAATTAAAAGCTCACTTCTTTTCAAGCTACTTCAAGTGCATTGGTCAATATTTCATTTGGTCTTTAGAGACTTCCAGCAACTTAGGTATTACAAGCATGCTCCAAACATTCAATTATTTATTATAATTTTAGGCATATGGCAACATAAAGAAATGCTAATTTGGATTAATTTGGATTGTCTACAGTTCTCTAAGCAATGTTTATATTTCCTCATTATGGATTTCCCAAGCATTCTATAAAGTGCAGACTATTATGTGTATTACATTATATAAAAAAAAGTAAACGCCTCATTTTAATAAATCTACTGAATTTTGAAGTGCGAGGACTTATTTTTAGTGTTTCCAAAATACATGCTTGCCTATTTATGTACATATTACTCATCTCTTATTTGCAATATTGGGTCTTTGTTGTAAGTCATAGGAAGCCTTGATTCAAGTGGCTTTCATATATGCTTTAGCACAGTTGCACTTTTGGTTCATTGCTTTACTGTGAAAATTTACAATATATGCTTCAAATTTCTGTAGAAATGACGGGAATTAAGAACAATGTGAAATTGATCATCTCACTTACCCAATGAAATCTTTTCTTAAATATGTTATTTTCATGAATACACACGGAGTCATTAAAAAGACATCACTTTATTAGAAGTGAGGCAGCAACCTTGAAATTTCGGGGGAAAAATTCTTTGTTTTCTCATCTCTGCATTTGGAGCTTTAAATATTATAAGCATTGTATTTGTATAGAAGTGTGAGCTTAGTTTTGGATCCTCTAAGTTTACATAACCTCGTTTGCATTGTAACATTAGGAAGTTCCTAATATGAGTTTCAGATTCTCTACTCAAGACAAAAAGTTACAAATGTCCTCTATCTGGAATTACAAATAATTGACTTTGAACTATCTGAAATGCAAAAATAACAAAAATAGGGTTATGTTAACCTCTAGCCTAAATAAGCTCTAATTTTATCGCGCCCTATAATGTCTTGTTGTTTAGCTAGCTATAAATATGGCCTATTAGTATGCATTTTTTGAGCTAGCGGCTTATTGACATACATGGGATCAATATGTTACAACACTACAAGTAGCAATTTTACAAGGCTATGGAAGCTCAGAATCTGACATATGACCAGACATCCTCCGCTCTCTTGGGCTCATAACCACCAATTGACTTTCTGAGCCCATCCTCTTAGGACGTCCGTGTCTACTCATATGTGGAAGCATGACTGGAGTTACGGACCGTCCCCTCGGTGTTCCTATAATGTTCGAACCATAGGCATAGTGTTAATACTGAAATCACGTAGGCATGCAAATAGTGTAATGTTATAAAGCACATAAACGTTTGGGGAAAAGTATGATTTCATTTAAGAAATTGTTTAAAAAACTCTCCAAACACATGTTTTTATATTAAACGATGGTGTTTCCCATTTTGTGTTTTCCCATGTTTCCCACATTTCCATGCGACATAGTTTGAATTAATACAAGAGGTATAGACTCTATTAGGAACACTTGTTCTAAGATCTAGTATATGTATTTGAACCTAAATATATGTGATGCAATGGAATATATATTGATGTTATAATTTCCAATGATTGAATAAAATGGAAATAACATACAATAAGCTCAGTAAATAATTGTCAATCTTGAGCATAAACGCCCAACATTAAAAGGAGTAGAATCAAGGATAGATGGGTCAATGTTTTCATGATGACAGTCTTTATAAGATTTCTTAGTTCTATATCCTATTTAGGAATTGTAATGGCAAAGTAAGAAGAATATCGTGACACTTCAAAATTGGACAATAAAAGAGAAATTATAAAATCTATACTTGATGTATCTAGTTTTCTAAACTTACCGGGTTGTTTGATTGATTTGATGTCTAAAGATTTCTTTGATATCGAAAGCTTCTTGCTCAAAACATTTGGAGAACCGAGAGACTTTCTTTCTATAGGTGATGGGGGTGGTTCGTCTGCAATCACAATTTCATCTTCACAAGCTGATGCATTATCACTTTCGGACTCAGAATTATTCTCCCTTTGAATTGTTGTTGATTTTTCTCTCTCTGCCACTTTATACACGAACATTTGAAAAGGAATATGTGTCACATACAAAGGAATTTGTGCCTTTTTATTTGTAAAGAAAGTGTCGCCATAGTCTAACAATAGTGGCATTGGTGAATCCGGATGTATGTGTTCTGGATTCAGAACTATAAACCGTTTTATATAGCGAAGAATCCTACAGATAGATGAGAATCTTGGTCGTTGGTTTGGATCATCATGCCAGCACTTCTTAGTTAAGCTTGTCAAATACTTTGGCAAAGGAAACGGAAATAGAGGCCTCTCACCCACCCTTATATTTCGACTCATTTTTTCTCCTTGGAGATGTCCATCCTCAAATGGGACTTTTCCAGTCAACACCTCAAAGCAAATCATCCCAAAACTATATACATCAGACTTCTCTGAATACTCTTCTGGTTCAGCTAATACTTCTGGCGCGTGCCATATATAATTAGGCGAGTTTTGTTGATTCACATGCATTTTCCGAGTGTGACTAGCACCAAATCCAGAAACTTTGGCATGCAAGTAACCTTCTGTGGACGTACTTCTGGATTTGACAAGGACATTAAATGGATTTAAGTTCCCATGATGAATCTTCATAGAGTGAAGATATTCCATACCCCTGGCAACCTGAAGCATCAGGTCAACTGCAGTGGGGAGAGAGAATGGGACTCGCTTCTTCGGACCGCAAATCTCTTTAATGTAACTGGATAGATCTTTATTCATGAGATCCATGATAAGGAAACACTCTTTCTTCTCTTCATCCGTGAAGGCACAAAGTATGTGCATTATGTTTGGGTGAGAGAGAGTTAGTTCATGAGAAATGTCTGAGATGAGCGGCTCAATGTCACCAAAAAAGTGTCTCAAACAGAAGCTCTCACCCAACCACTGAACTTCCTTATATTGGTTATCCATTTCCAACCGCCGCCTGACGTGATAGTCTTTGGACCTGACTAAAACCGAGCAAGGCATTATTAGTCTATCGGGTAATAACATGTCTGAAGGAGCGTTTAAGTTCCTCATGAGGAGATCAGCAAGTCCCTGGTTTTGCTTTGATGATATTTTCTTCTCTTCGATTTTGTTTTTCAGGATCCATCTATCCTCATTCCAAACTGACTTTATCCGGTTGCAGAAATCCGGAGAAACCAGGTATTGAGTCCCGTATCTCCAATTAAAAATTCTTTGATCCTTACATTCCTTTAGATACTTCAATGCGTAAATGGCTCTCTTCTTTTGAATCTCTTCATGGTCTAAACTCGACACTTCTCCTGCCATCTCAATGGCCTCAATCACGACGGATATGCAACTGAGAAGGTTGTGGATGTGGAGTTCTACACAATCTGTGTTCTGGTAAAGTGTTATGGCTTTTGCCCAAAAATCTTTCGTCTCCAAACAATATCTTACATACATTTCGCCTTCTTTAAATACTCGGAGGAGCTCTCTCAATGGGTTTTCAATGACTTTCCACTTGAAACTCTTATCTTCATATCTCAAATTATGTTTCATTAACTCTGCTGTATTGTTATATGCAGAATTAAGCATGTCTACTAACAAATAGCATTGCCGCTGATTCAATTGTATGCAATCTTGGAAAACCATCAATGCCTTGATGCTCCCTAATGCCTCCCCGATCTGCCTAAATTGGTCCATCCTGAAAATCAATTATCTAGAAGGAGGAATAACATGGAATTAATTTGTCTGTTTTATATCCATTAAGATTATTATGTTATACAAATAAACACAATGCGGAAAAATCTTACCAAGAAATAATGATGACCAGATTTCCAGAAACATGAGGAGTTTATGTTCCCCTCCCCTTGATGCAGAGCCCCAGATCAAGAAGGATCAAAGAAATATTAAAATTACCTTTCTTTCTTTTCTGAAAATGCAGGCCTGATAAAAAAGTGGCATGAAGGGCATGCATAATTTCTTCAACTACAATGTGATAAACATCTTGTAACAACTCCCAATGGAAAATGAGTTTCTAGAAACTTTGATTTAGAATTAATTGATGATCAGGATTAAAATTTCTCCCAAGATTGTAGTATGGTCTTGAAATTTCGGAAAACTTTTTAAAATCACATGATGCGGTTAAGTAAATAAAAAATGAAACTCTAGGAACTATATTTTGGGTCACCCCAAAATGAAACTTTTTAGCATCACCCCAAATATAAATGATATTTTTTAAATATAAAAAATTGTCTTGTTCCTTTTCAATGGAACTAAATGGGTCGCATTTGATCATTCTTATTCAAAATTAAAGAAAGCAACAAGTAGAAAGCTAAAAAAAGAGAAGCTAAATAATTGCATAATTCGATGTGACAAAAGTGTTTGCTTAACAAAAACATACAATAAACAAAAAAAATCATATTATATTTGATTCAATAAAAAATAATAAATCTTTATCATATATGTTACGAAGTATGTTCTAAAAAAATTATTAAAAAATCAGTTGGGCGTCTAGGTGGGCTAGGATGGCACCTAGATGGCTAGGTGATGATTTGGCGGTCCTTAAATAATAGAAAAATTCCTTTTGTACACGTTTTTGTACCCATCAGTACACGCATGTGTCTGTGAGAGTTTTTTTTTGTCTGCGAAGTGCGGTTCACAGACAAAAGCTGGTTTGTTTTGTCTGTGAAATTTTCCACAGACAAAACAAGCCAACTTATGTCTGTGGACCGCGCTTCACAGACAAAAAAAAACTCTCACAGACACATGCGTGTACTGATGGGTATAAAAATGTGTACACCAAGAATGGTTGTAAATAATATGTTACTACTCCAACTAATTTTCTCCGCTTTGTCATAAAATCAACTTTTGATCGATAATTATTCTATTTCTATTAAAATAGTATTAATATTCCTACACTAAAAAATAAGTTTAAATTGTATTTTACTACATAACATTTTTAAAGATTATAGAACACAATCTCTTGTTTTATTCAAATATTTCTATTAGTTGTCTTACTATTTATAACTTTACTCCAATAATATAGCCTATAATAACTGTACGAGCAATTTCTATTGTCGATATATTATAGTGCAATTAATAAATAATATTAAAAATAAAAAGAGTATAGAATAATACCCAAGCGCTTTACGTGACACATAGGCGAGCTAGGCGCTAGACAGTGTGTCGCCATACACTCATTGCTTGCTTATGGTGTATGGAGTTGCTAGCTGGTTTAGCGATGTCAATAATTTGTAGAGCTTCCATTGTGTAGATTGTTTGACATTATTTCAATGTGCAAAAAATAAAAACCCAAACGGCGGCCAAACTAATGCCTACATGCCTAGTTAAAAAAAGTTTTGGTACAAAATGACTTAATTGGTTGATATTAAATATAAAATGTTTTAACTGGAAAAAAGAAGCAAACGAACATGTTCAAACTTCACTGTGAATTTGTGTTTTGAACAACAACTAGTAATTTTATACAAAACATAATTCACTGCATCATCAAATTAAGGTTAAAATATTTTGTAATAATAAATTATTTTGAGTAGAATGGAGTACAAAACTAAAAACTTTCATGTGGCAGAAATATTTTAGGTTTGGATTTTTACTAAAAAGTAAAAATCGAAAGATTTTGACTTCCTCAATATATTTTAGAATAAATTTCCTAATTTATGTTGTTTTCAATTGAATATATTCTAGTCTTCTACGGCATATAATTTAGTTTGGTCTAATCTATTTAAATTCAGTCCGATATTTTAAATGTCTATTTATGTATGCTTTGTAACTATCAAAATATGGTGTTGTCTGATCTCGTTAGATCAGGTCTATTAAAACCAGTTCAATTAAAAACGTTCCTAATCTAAAGATTAATTTGCCAAATTCGCATTTGATCGACACATTAACTATACCCCTTTGATATGTGATTGATGAGTACTACTCCGTATTTAGTAGTGCATAAACACCACGTTTTAGAATGACTTTACATTATGTTTACTTAGCTTTTGTACAATTATGGTGTAATCTTTATCTTCTAAAATTAAAGTAGAATTAGAAGATATTAAGATATTTTGACATGTAAGCAAAAACATGATGAAAAGAAAAGGAAGGAGCTTGGGAGCATAAGAAAAGGAGCATTAGAGACAAGAGGAAGCTTCATGGAGGATAAAGAAATGTGAAAAATCGGATATGATTTGACCCGGAGATCATAAGAGATCAAATAAAGTAAGTGAACATGGAAAAATCAGATTATGTCTTAGACTCAATCACCTCACTTCTCCCATAAAACACCCCTTTCCTTCCTGTTTTAGATGCCAATTAATCCTCTCTTTCATATACACTTTATTCTTGTAATTTAGGTAGCCTTTTGAGCTTGATTTTGCTACTTTGAATCTTAATGAATTGTAAGTTGTGAGTTATTTTCTTTAATCTTCTTCCTTGAATATTAATTGAATCTACCTCTATATTAATGTTGGGGAGTGTTGCTAAGATGACAATTAGTTAACATCTTGACATTAGTTATAGTAGAATTTATTTTCTTTAATATTCTTCCTTGAATAATAATTAATTCTCATTCATATTTCATATTAATATTTTGAACATTACTTAACGGATCAACTAGTTTTGTTTCATATATTAATTATTACTAGAATCGATCGACGAATACGCTTGTTAATCGTTCGATCGTTTCACGGTAGTAAACTTGGGTTATTAATGCATGCGTCTCATGGTTAATAACCTAAGGGGAATTAATTATATTGATTAAACCAATAAACCGCTTGTGTTGAAGTTATCAATCTTAATTGATTTCATCAGATGACAAATGAATAAATTAGATAGAAAAATTGGACATGAGATTCTCGTTGTGACAGTCGAGAATACTCACCTCGGGTTACAAGTTATCGTTCTTAATTTATTTCATTAAATCGAGCGAATGCTACTATTAAGATCAACATATGGCGCTTGTTCTATATTGATTAATTAATAGTAAGGGTTATTAATGATGTCTAACTATTATGGTCAAAAAATTGCATGTGAACAAGAAGTTATAATCATGTGTCTAAAAGAAAAAAAGTAGAAGTCAAGACTCGAGCAAATTGCCATCATCCCATTGAAGTTTGGTTATACTTACTAATTTCACCTTGCATTTTTAAGAGCATCATCAACGCAGGCTTTCTAGTTCCGATTTAGTCTGCCACTTCATCATAATTAGACATTGTGTTTTTATTTAGTCCTCCAATGCGAGTAGTCTTTTGCTGATATGGCAAAAAAAACCTAAACAGCGTGAAGGTTAACGTCCGAGTGTAGAAAGCCGTCGAAACTTGCTGACTAGACAAAAATAGGCGCGGCTTCACCGAAAAATCAGAGGGAAATCGAAAATTCAAGAGGGAAATCGAAAACAACTCAAGAGGGAAATCGAAAACTCAAGACCTATATAATGAACACTCTTTGCCGAGCTGCCACAAATAAATCATTCTCTCTGGTATTTCTATCACCGAAGAAGCTCTGACATCTCTGCAATTGGCCGATTCATTCTGTTTTTTGGGAAAACCAGGTTAGTTTTCGACATATCCAAACATTGTTTTTCCAGTTTTTCTTCAAATCAGGCCATCAGGGTTCCTCCGTGTTTGGGTATGTATTTCTAAAGCTTTAATGTGTTAATTAGGGAGATATCACCATTTCTTTTTAATTCTTATTTTTTCTCTTTTATATGTGTTCTTAATTTCGTTAGTGAATTGCTACATGAATTTAGTTTCTCTTTAATTATTTATTCTTGCTCTTTGTATATGAGTTCGTAGTTTGGCCAATTGCTGGGTTTTAATGTGAATGTAAATTCTCCAATATTTGATCCCTTGGAAGAGTATGACATGATTTCTTTGATTCTTTATTGTTCTTCTCTTAATATGAGTTACAGAGTATTAGTTTTGTGAATTGCTAGATTTGAAGGTGAATTCCTAATTTCTTATCTTATGGTTTCCTATGATTTATTTGGTTTCATGATTTGTAAGTGTTCAGGTGTGTGTATGTGTGTTGAGCAGGAGCTTGAGGGGGCTCTTAAAACAGATACAAAGCAAATATTTTTGTAGTATAAAGAGTGTTTCCTTGGGTTGAAATGGGTGTGAAAATAAGATTGTTTGGTTGAGTTATTAAAAGAGAGTTATGTTGGTGTTCGATTAATTGTTTCCAGTATACTATATGATAGTACCTGAACTCCTGCAAGCCATATATTATACTCCGTATATGCATAAGAGCAAAACTAAGTCATCTTTATTCACAAAAACTTGACCTACACATTACAATTTCAATATTGTAAAAACTATTATAATGCTTATTACAAAGCTTAAGATTAAATTTGATACTCTGTAATATGAACTGAACTCGTTAGTTCAAGTTTAAACAGTTTACTTCACTTCTAGTGGAAACTGAAAGCATAAGTTTACTTTAACTCACTCACTTTACTTCACTATATTATACCAAGTTGTACTTTGCTTTCACTTTATTTTTACTTTACTTGATGTGTTGTGATTCATTGGATCCTAATTTTCTATTGTGCAAATAAACGAAAAATGGCTATTTCTCTTCTTGTTTTCAACTTCTACGAAAAATCATTGAAATTAAACTTTAATCACAAAGCATTATAAGTATCATAGTAACTGTAGAGTGAAATTTGACAATATTATGTTGAAAGTAAAGGATTTGATGTATTCTGGATGTTTTGAACCATTTTGGGAGGCAAACAGTATTGTGGTTTTTTCTGATGTACAGGAACAATTTGGATATGGATCCTGGATGTGATCAGCTTCCCAACTCCCTACATCCTACTTTTGTTAATCTTCCCAATCAAACTCCAAATCAGTTTCCTAGTAGTGATCAGCTTCCAAGCTCCCAGCGTCCTCCTTATGTTAATCATCCCAACCACACTCCAAATCAGTTTCCTGGTAGTGATCAGCTTCCAAGCTCCCAACGTCCTCCTTATGTTAATCTTCCCAGCCAAACTCCAAATCAGTTCACGACATCAATAAGTCCCCAGTTTCATCCTTCATATCAATTTAATACCATGAATGGTTCTTGTCCTCCGTATACTAACCTACATTATGGACCTCCTTTTCCAATCCAAAATGTTTTGAACACTCCAGTTTTTCCAAGTGGAGCCACAGAAACTCATACCACACGAGGAGGAGGAGGAAGAAAGAAACCGAAAGATGTCCATAATAATTCCAATGAAACATCAGTTATGTGGAGTTCCGAAGAAGATATTGCATTAACACAGGCATGGTTACGTATCTCTACAGATCCTGGTGTTGGTAACAACCAGAAGCATACAGCTATGTGGGAGCGAATCTTACAAGTTTGGAAGGATAACATAGGAGATCATTGCAAAAAGCCCAGGAATAGTAACAGCTTGCAGTGTCGGTGGCAAAAAATACAAAAGTCCATTAACAAGTTCCATGGGATTTATGAGAAACTTGAAAGGCATCCACAAAGTGGTTCGAACCCAGAAGACATAGTAAGTATTACTTTAAGTGTTACAGTTTTTATATTTTCATTACATTTGAGTAGTTTGAATCTTTTTTATTTGATTCTTGTGTTTTCCAGAAAAAAAATGCATTGAACATGTATGAGAGGATTATGAGTGATAAGAAGAAAAAGGAATTCAAATATGTCCATTGTTGGGAACTTTTAATAAAGAATGCAAAATGGTGTACCAACCAGCTGACAAAGGCTGATGCATCAAATAAGAATTCTGTGGATAACGGAAACCCATCAGCGGCTATTAACACCACACCTAACACAGGAAATAATACTACAGAACCTGTAGAAGTTAGATGTGATGATATTGTGCGCCCTGAAGGAAGGAAGAGTTGTAAGGAAAGAAAGCGAAAGCTGAATGCGCAAAATGGAGTTATTGAAGCATTGAACAAAATGCAATGCACCTTGGAGAAGCAAATCCAATTCAATATGGCAGAGCTGGAGTTGAAGAAGGAAATCCAACAAAAAGAGTATGCATTTAGAGAGCAGATAATGAAAAAGGAGTTAGAACTAAAGGAGCATAACCAAAATTTGAAGGAAGAATCCCAACAAATGAAAAAGAAGGAGCAGGAAATGAGAGAGAGAGCACAAAAGAAATCTGATCAAGAACGTTCTCAAGAACGTATTATGAACCTCGACTTGAGTAGACTGTCACCAACTGTCCGAGCAACATATGAAATCTTACAAGCTCAAATACTGAAAGAATGGGAAGTTGCCAGCTTTAATAGAATTTAATTATATTATAGACTTTAGATCTTTTCTTATTTTATATTATAGATTTATCAGATCTTTTGATATTTCAATAATTTTCCTATTAATGGGAATATATGAACCATGGTTGATTGTTTTTTTAGGAATTAAGTCACTAGTTTGTGATTTAGTATAATTATCATGATTTTATGATACTGATTTATATTACAGAAGCAACTTATTCCTTGCAGAGTGTTCATAAATGAATGTATGAGTTGATTTAGTATAATTATCATGATTCTATGATACTGATTTATATTACAGAAGCAACTTATTCTTTGCAGAGTGTTCATAAATGAATGTATGAGTAGGAAGTTTGATATGCATCATATAGAAGAATGGTGCTCTGATTTGAAGTAGGTTTGATTTTGCTTCTTTAATTTGAACTATTTGCTGTTTCTTTTCAAATTGAGTCATCATGTAAAAAGATTAGAAGTGCATTTTTGTGCCTATTGAAAAAGAACCGAGTTTGTATTTTAAAGAAAAAAATCACCACCTGTAAAATTGCTTGGATGATAAAGCATTTTCTTATTAAGCACTTTAAGTTAAGCACATTCCAAGTTGAAAAAAACATTAAAAGGCTTTGTTCAAAAGATGTGATGTCAATGCCAAATCAATCAAAAGATGTGAGCACATACTCTGTGTTCAAAACATTCCAGGTTGAATCAACTACGTAGAGCAGAATGACTGCTCACAAAATCAACTATATAGAACAGAAGCATTTCAAAGTAAAATAGACCATGTACACTGATAAACCAATATAAAATCATTATGTTATAGACTTATTAAGACAATTACATTATACTAAACAAGGATTGTTCAGGAAATAAAAAATACATTAACAATTAAAATTGAAAAGCAACTAGCTATCAAAAACAATTATAATTAAAAAGAAACTAGCTATCAAATACTTGTCCGCCATATACTTCCCACAAATGATTGATGAGATCATTCTTTAATTCCCTATGCAACCATATGTTTTGTACCTGTTTAGTTCGATTAATCATCATTGACATCATCAAATTAAAATCATGCTCTAGAGTAACACTTTCAGTAGATTCTTCTCCTTCCGCCTGCCACTCTTCAGGATCAATGCCTTGAGTACGCTCATTCTCAATTATCATGTTATGTAATATGATGCATGTCTTCATTATCTTTCCCAAGTCTTTTGCACTCCAAAAACGAGCAGGGCCCTTAACAATCTGCCACCGACTTTGTAACACACCGAATGCTCGTTCAACATCCTTTCTCGCGGATTCTTGTAGTTTTGCAAATAACTTTTCCTTGACAGATGAAGGATGAGATATTGTTTGGATGAGAGTAGCATACTGTGGATATATCCCATCGGCTAAATAATAACCCATATTGTACTCATGACCTTGAACTATAAATTTACATGGCGGAGCTACACCATTGATTAGATCATCAAACAACGGAGATCTATCTAAAACTGTAATATCATTGTTACTACCAGCCATTCCAAAGAAAGCGTGCCAAATCCATAAACTCTGTGAGGCTACAATTTCTAAAATAAGAGTTGGAACTCTCTTAAAACCATTTGTATGAGTACCATGCCAAGCAGTGGGGCAATTTTTCCATTGCCAATGCATGCAGTCCAAACTACCAAGCATACCGGGAAACCCTCGACTCTCTCCTTCTTTCAGGAGCATTCTAATATCATCCATGCTTGGTTTTCTCAAGTAATGTGCTTCATAAACTCCTATAATAGCATCACAAAAGTGCTTTAGACTTTCAATTGATGTTGTTTCTCCAATTTGAATATATTCATCAAGAAGATCAGCTGGACAACCATATGCAAGCATGCGTATGGCTGCTACCATCTTCTGCAGTGGGCTCAACCCAATGTTTCCAACAGCATCAATCTTTTGTCGAAAATAGCTATCATAGTTTTCAACATCTTGTAAAATTTGAGTGAATAATTCAATATTCATTCTAAATCTACGACGGAAAAGTTGTGGGGTGTACTTTGAGTTTTCACCTTTGAAGTAGTCATTTACTATTTGGTCATGACGTTTTTCCCTATCACGACGAATATAGCATCTACCTGATGGTAAACCTTCGAGAGAGCATTTTGCAGCGGAAACCATTGAAGAAACGATCAACGACACACCTGAACAACCTTCTGTGTTAAGAAGAAAATCTTTCAACGGATCATGCATTGATTGTTTGGTAAGTGAGAGATCATTATCACTCGAAGATGAACTATCAGAGTCTGATTCAAAATTTATGGTGGTCATGTCTTTGACTTAAAACCTGTTAAGAAAACATCATTCAAAACAAATGAAATTAAACATATAAAATACAAACACAGATTGAGATAACACACATGGATATGTATACATATACACATGACACTTCGAATTATATTTATATTGATACACACACTTCGAATTACACACACAGCTAACACAAATACTATATACGAAGTATATAAATACATACTGATAAACATATGTTCCAGTTACACTCAGGCCACGCACAGAGACATATGTACGGAGTATATTATAGGAATTGAATGTTGCTAGTGTTGGGAATCGCCACACAAACAAACAAAACAAATATATATATACTAGTTAAGTTTGATTGTCAATTGCTGCAATCAAGAAAATAAACATGAGATCGAAGTATCGAACTGGCTCACCTCTTTGGCTGCTTTTGAATGTTATTCGAGTTAGAAGAAATTAAGGCAATTATAAATTAGAGAATATATATTAGAGAAGAAGCGATGTGATCCTTGCCAAAGTTGAATCAATCTGATGATTAAATCCGGAAGGTTAATTTGAAAAGAAAAATACGTGAGGTTAGTTTCCAAAAAACCAAAGGAGTCGTTAATTTAGTATTCCACCTGGACACGACTTCAGCCATTAGACTTTACCATTGGAGTTTTTATTTTATTTGAATATCCGATCACTTCGCATACTATTACGTGGAATGGAAGGCCTTTTATTTATTTGACAATTGGCACACTTTTTTTAGACTAGACACTCCCCCATTGATGATGCTCTAAGGTCAACTAATTACTCTTCAAGTTTTGGTTAGTCTCATTGTTACTTTTTTGTCAACATTATCTCGTTTGACATCATATTTTTTTTTTTAAATTTAATGGAAGTAGGACTCCGTATAAAATATAAACCATTAGAATTCGAAGTAATTCAACAATTTGACTCCACTAGAAACAAATAAGAAATTACGAGCAATCGTTATGAGCAATCATTACGACTAATAATCATGAAAATGAATTGTTTAGACTTTTATAATTACACACACATATATTGTACAACAAAATTCATTGAATTTGAGAATTATACTCCGTATTAAATATAATTAGATAGTCAATAGTATTTTGGAAATGCAAAGTTAAACAAGTAATTTGACCAAACCTACGTCTTGTTTGGTAATTGGTTTATAAACCATTTTTTGCTGGTTTGATCATATTTAGTTGATTTGTTTTTTTACTAGCCGAAAGGCCCGAAACATATGTTTGGTAAACAAATTTTTAGAACATCTTCTTTTACTCCAAAACGCTAATTTGGACACACTGCTATGTGTAGGGGCGGATCTTGAACATTAATTTAGAAGGTTCAATTTTATTTTATAATTTTTGGGTGCTCATATACATACTAGTCAATCCACCCGTGCGTTGCACGGATAAAAGATGAAATAATTTATTTTAAAATAATTCATGAGAAATGTGTATACATAGTTATTGTATAAAAATATGATATAAAAATAAATTAGAGTCCATGTATGATACTACTTCCGTCCCACTAAAATTGTCTCATTTTTCCTTTTTAGTTTGTCTCATTAAGATTGTTTTATACCAAATTTGGTAACGTTGGTATGATTCTAAATCATTCCTACTTTACTCTCATTTTATCAATTCAATATCAGCCACATAAATTATTAGTGGGTATCATAGTATAGAAATTTTTATAACGATATAGACCAATCATATGAATTGTAGATCGACATGCTATGTTTACTTATTAGTGAGTTATCAATGTATTGACCCTTTTATGTTTTTTCAATGTATTGTTGTGAAAGTGGCTATTTATTTCCTTATAATTAATTTCTAGTTCAGTTAAGTTCAAATTCGTGTTAAATTTGATAAAGTACAATCATATTCTCCCTATTCAATTGTCTGCATCTAGCTAGTAAGGATTGAATTCTTTTTAATATAGTTACTTGTTTACTAATGGATAAATTTATTTAAATCGTCTTTTTTTATGGATAGATGTAATAGAATTAAATGAATGCATTTTTATTTTATTTTGCAACTGATTACCAATAACAATTCCTCTCTCGTCTCGTTAAACTTTGATAACTTTATTTATGCAACTTTGGTGATTTCTATTTAAAGTATTAAGTTTGTGGATAAATTATTTTTTCCTTCTACGATCTGCACAAATCTCCATCATATAATTTTCTTTATATTTCACATGCAAATCATCTTTTCCCCTCATTTTTGCTTGTTTTTTTTTATCTATTTATCCTTATATATATAGACTACTTTTATCCTTTTTATTTTATCGTTTTTAGGTATATTCATCTTTTTGTACATTATCTTTTTTATAATAGCTTATCTTTTTATCTTTAAATTATTTTCTTTCTTTTCCTTTTGGCGGTGATCTCATGTATCGATTTATGTTAGCCGACCCCAATATCTTTTGGACTAAGGCTTGGATGTTGTTGTTGTTGTTGTTGTATTTCACATGCAAATCAATTTCATTCACATTTTATGGGGGTACTAATTAACTCCTTCCGTTCTCCTATGTTTGTCCCGTTTTACCTTTTTCGTCCGTCCCATTAAGTTTGTCCCATACCATATTAGGTAATGTTTGAGTGGCTAGAATTCATTATTAATTTATTCACACTTTATCAATTCAATATCAACCACACAATTCTACGTTTTCTTAAAAACCACACCACACCCCTTTGTCCCAAACTTAGGGGACAGAGGTAGTATCATTTTCCTTTTTAATAATATTTGTATCTGGATTCATCATTCATGAATATAATTTTATACGAAGTACTTTTTTTTATATTCTAAAGTTAGAACATTTCGTTTTAAAATTTATTATGTATGTAAATGTCTATTAACTAATTATGTATGTAAATGTTTCTAATATTTTTCTAATAATTTTATTTATATGTAATGTCTATATGCTTACTTTTCTAATTTGTATTTGTAACTTACAACAATTAATGAGGTTTCTACTTAATCATTGATTGTTATTAACTATTGACATATTAAATAATGTTTAATTAATTGTGACAACAATTTTTCACTTCTTTTGGCTCCAAATAGATTTCTATTTGGATCTCCACCATGTTCTCTTTATATATATAAAGATATAAATTTTAACACTACACTCATATACATGTATTTTTACCCTACAAGTTAAAAATTTTGAGTGTTCACATGAAAAGTTTTGAACAAGTATAGGTCGCCCCTGACCGTGTGCAACATTTTGGTATATATTGTCCACTTTTTCACTATGCAAATTAAATTAAAGTCTCAACTCCTACGTCTTACATTTTTTCTTTTAGTTATTGTAACTATATAATTTTTTTTTGATGAAATATTAAAACTATATAATTCAGATTATAAATCAATTTGGAAGATAAATAAGTAAGTAAGTAAGTAGGTAAGTAAGTAAGTAAGTAAGTAAGTAAGTAAGTAAGTAAGTAAGTAAGTAAGTAAGTAAGTAAGTAAATAAGTAAGTAAGTAAGTATAAGTAGGTAAGTAAGTAAGTAAGTAGGTAGGTAAGTAGGTAGATAAGTAGGTAAGTAGGTAGGTAGGTAAGTAAGTAAGTAGGTAGGTAAGTAGGTAGGTAAGTAAGGATGTTTTTACTTGGACTGTAATTTGCTGGTCTGGTCTAGTGTGGTCTGATCTGGTCTGGTCTGGTCTGAACTAGTCTGGTCTGGTCTGGTTTCTTTGTATTTTTATAACTATCCAAGTCTGGTCTGGTCTGGTCTGGTCTGGTCTGGACTGATCTGATCTGGTCTAGTCTGGGACAAATTACAGTCCAAGTAAAAACATCCTAAATAAGTAAGTAAGTAGCTAAGTAAGTAGGTAAGTAGGTAGGTAAGTAGGTAGATAGGTAAGTAAATAGGTAGGTAAGTAGGTAAGTAAGTAAGTAAATAAGTAAGTAAATAAATAAATAAATAAATAAATAAATAAATAAATAAATAAATAAATAAATAAATAAATAAATAAATAAATAAATAAATAAATAAATAAATAAATAAATAAATAAATAAATAAATAAATAAATAAATAAATAAATAAATAAATAAATAAATAAATAAATAAATAAATAAATAAATAAATAAATAAATAAATAAATAAATAAATAAATAAATAAATAAATAAATAAATAAATAAATAAATAAATAAATAAATAAATAAATAAATAAATAAATAAATAAATAAATAAATAAATAAATAAATAAATAAGTGAGCAAACAAGCAAGTAAGTCACTAGGTACATAAGTGTAATTTTGACATTCTAACAATTAATTATAAACATTTGATTTTATGATGTTTTTACGTAGACTGTTTTCAGTTCCTGACTAGACCAGACCAGAATTAAACAGACCAGATCAAATCAGACTTCCATAGTTATATAATGCACAAAGATCAGACATTTACTTGACCAGATCAGACCAAATCATATCAGACTTAAGCAGATCAGACCATACCAGCAAATTTCAGTCCAAGTAAAAACATTCATAAAGAGTATAGCTAGTCGATACCGCTAAATCAACCAACTGATCAAAATCGTTAATGCAACCGGCTAATCGCTAAAGCTAACAGCTAATTACTACAGATGGATAATACAGAGTAACAATTTTCTCTAGAGATGTCAAAAAAACATGACCCACAATGACCCGCCCTAGCCCGAGACATTTGGGGCGGGTCCACCCTGCCCTGTCTTGCAAATGGGGCGGGTCCGCCTCGCGCCGCCTATATAATGGGGCGGGTCCGGGTATTAGTAATGACCCGACCCGCCCCGACCTGTTCAATATATAAGTATACATATTTTTTCTTAAATTATATTACAAATATACTTCAACATACATATGTGTGTATACAATAAATCATATTTTTTTTATCTTATAATATATTCATATGTATATTAGAATGAAATGAAAGACGGATTATCAATGTCTTCTTTATATATAGCATTTTAATACATATATTCAATTATTAATATAATTAAATAGATTAATTATTCAAGTCTGAGTAATTTTTTCTTAATTTTCGAAATTTGTAGTGTATCATGAATTTGATTTAATATATTAATTTCTAATTATTATTTAGAGATAAACTTTATGTAGATTCAATGGGTAACAATTTCCCACAGATAAAAATACATATTACGTAGTAGCGAATTAGGTTATGACGGGACGGGATGGGGCGGACCCACCCCGCATGGGGCGGGTCATGAGTCAACAAGTTTGGACCCGTGCAGGTCACAGTTCGAGGCGGACCCGCCCCGCCAAGTCACGG